ACAACAACAAAAATAATAACAACAACAACAACAACAATAACAACAACAAAAACAACTGGATTTTTTCTCTCAACTTTACCTTCACAATCTTTTTCTCTGTCCACCTCATTGACCACACACAATCATACAATGTCTATAAAATCTACCTCACATGCACAGATCACAACAACGACAACAACAACTGGAATTTTTCTCTTACTTTGACCTTCACAATCTTTTTTTCTGTTTATTCCACTGATCACAGCACGAGTTAGAAAATCTATCTCGCAGATCACAACAACAACAGCTGAATTATTTTTTCTCTCACCTTGAACATCACAGTCTTTTTTTTTTAAATTTCTATCCCACTGACCTCACAACACATGTTGTAAACTCTATCTCACACGCACAGATCATAACGACTACAACAACACGTGGAATTTTTTTCTCAACTTGACCTTCACAATCTTTTTTCTCTGTCCACCTCATTGACCACACACAATCATACAATGTCTATAAAATCTACCTCACATGCACAGATCACAACAACGACAACAACAACTGGAATTTTTCTCTTACTTTGACCTTCACAATCTTTTTTTCTGTTTATTCCACTGATCACAGCACGAGTTAGAAAATCTATCTCGCAGATCATAACAACAACAGCTGAATTATTTTTTCTCTCACCTTGAACATCACAGTCTTTTAAATTTCTATCCCACTGACCTCACAACACATGTTGTAAACTCTATCTCACACGCACAGATCATAACGACTACAACAACACGTGGAATTTTTTTCTCAACTTGACCTTCACAATCTTTTTTCTCTGTCCACCTCATTGACCACACACAATCATACAATGTCTATAAACTCTATCTCACGTGCACAGATCACAACAACAACAACTAGTGGTATTTTTTTCTCAACTTGACCTTCACAATCTTTTTTTTCTGTCCACCTCATTGACCACAACATGTCCCCTTCGTCTCCTCCCCCTCCTCCCCCTCCTCCCACTACACAAAGTAGTACAATAGCCCGGTCCGTGCCATTAGGCGCCCTCAGCCGGAAGGGTTCGACTGTCTCCTTTTATTTTGGTAAGTGTTTTAGTTTTACTGCGCTTGCAACTGCATACGGTCATATGAGCGCGCGGGACGCAATTAACATTTTTTAGTTGGTAGGATTAGTTAGTAGGAAATTTTTAATTTTGCGCGGGTAGCGGCCAGAGCCTACTCTTATCGATTTTAGACCACCAAGGAATCTTTAACGTGCGCAACTTGCACACGAGACCCTCGAGATTTTTCGCCGTTAACCGAGAAATATAGGTGTTAGATCTTACCTACCTACCATAAGATCAGGGGTGAGACTGAAAGACAGCAGTAAGAAGGAGCTGACGAGTAACAGTAGAAAGGCTGCAGAAAAGGCCAGGAGTCCAGAGGAGGGGGCAGAGAGT